GGAATATACTCATACTAAAAAAATTAGTCACTGTTCACCTGATTTCTTAAACTAATTCTCCATGGAGTGTATTTTTTCTGGCAACCCTCCTTCTGCACAACCTTAGGGAGGAGCACTTGCCTATCTACTTGGTTGAGACTTCCGGGTGTTTCATGGGGCTTTGCTCCCAGGTAGGTTACAGAAGTAAAACAATGAGCCTGGCTATGCTGTTTTCTTTACTTGATCCTGAAGCACACCCACCGCTTCAGCTTGCCGGTCTGTCCTGGAGACTCTGTATGTCCCTTCGGACCCTTTCCACCCATCTCAGAGCCCGGGAGCCTGTCTGCATGGACCACAGCGATCGCCTTCTCTTGCCCTCTGGCTTCTAGTTGAGCTTGGTCAACGGAAGCCCCCAGGAGAAGATGAAAGGACAGAGAAGAGATGGGGTGCTTTATCCTCTTGCTCCTTGCCAAACCCTGTGTGCATTTGTCCCTCACCAAAGGACAAGTGCTTGAAGAGGTTGGTGTCAGAAGAACCTCTCCAGGGCTGGGGATATAGCTCAGTGGCGTAAGGGCCTGCCTGGCAAGCGTGAGGTCGCAAGTTCAATCCCTGGTACCACAAAAAAAAAAAGGACCTCTCCTACAGCTCATTCCGGATCCCAATGCCGTTCTTCTGCTTGCCCTTGAAAGCCTCAGGGAGATGTTCCCGAGGTGGCCGACCCCAAGATCTTCACAGCTCTTCCAATTTCCTTTTTCCTACCCTCAACTTTACACACATTCCTGTCCTTAAGCTCTCTTTCCTCACCCCCTTTGAGCATTTTCCTCTTCTCTAAGCAGGACCCTGACTTACATGAGGAAAGACTAAGGTGGATGGTAACTAAAGAGGTCTTGTGCAAACTTAACCCTGAATCTCGAATTCATATCCAGTTTGGTCAGGAATTCTGCATTGGGGGTTTCCACACCTGGCTAATGATAAAGAAATGCTTTGTTTTCTGTTTCTGGACCGGCTAGCTCAAGATCAACAAACACCGTTTACAAGGCTTGTTGCAGTACCCTAACTCTGCATTTATGCTGAAATCATTGTGTAACAGGTTGGAGGCAGAGGCCAGTGTATTTAACCACTATCAACATTCATCTCTGTACAAAGAAGAACAAAAAAAAAAAAAAAAAAAAAAAATTGGCCCGCAGAGCAGTGACTCCAAGCTGAGTCTTGATTTTGTTTCTTGCCTGGGGTCTGAGATCAGACCGGCAAGTTCACATCATTCGTTTCCAGAAATGCTAAGTCCCAAAGGTTCGCCTGAACAAACTGCATGTTCTGGGAACCCGGAGGGACAGACACAGAGCAGCCTACACGCAACGCAGAACAAAAACAGAAGAAACCACCCCAACTTACCCATGACCAATTTCTGGCTATTTTTCCCAGCTATTTTTAAATAATCAAATCACCATAGTGTCTATGGCATTTTGGAGAGTGCAGGGATTGTGAGTCACATCCTTATTTACAGGAATAAGGGGGGGAAGTCAGCTTGTTCAGCATTTACTCCGTTTATGAGAAGTGAGCCGGCAATGGAGAAGCCGGAGCACGGGGCCTGCTTCACGTATAATTTTACCTTGTCCTGCAATCTCTTTATCTTTCCCTCCTCAGGACTCTGACCTGAGAGAACAGTCCCTGCCCAGACTCGTTCAGTGACAGATAAAACATACTGTCTTCCTTTGCATCACGCGGTCCTCCTCTCTTGGTTGAGGAAAAAACTTGGTTCCTCCTTTTTACTCACTGAGTCAGCCTTTCATGCTAAGAGCGCTGCCCTCAACTCCGTAAGAAGCCAGTAAAGAGTTCTTAAAAGCCCAGCTCCCCGGAGAAAGACTGGTTTCCAGCACTGTGACTCAGGTCCTCATTCTCTGGTCATGATCATAGCTTTCCTAATCAACCCTCGTAAAAGCCGCTCCTTCCGGAGTCTGCCTCCGGAGCTGCCCGAGACGTGCACACACTCGGGACCGACGTGAACACTCCTGGAATTTCAGACAGCAGAATGAGTCGGTAGGATTGTTAACACACTACCCAGAAACTCGCTTCCCAAATGTGTAACGAGTTTTCCTGCCGGGGGGAATTTGTTTGTAACTAATGAGAACTAAAAACTATATATTCTCAGTTAATGAAAGCAGAATGGCTAAGATAGGTGTTCCGACACTAAAGGACCCAGTTGTCTGTTCTGGGAGTTATTTCATCTCTACTTTTGTGATTTCCCTCCATGTGATCCACATCCCCAGGTTTGATTATTATCATTATTCAAAAATAACAGTGATGGTTAAAAAAAAATGTAGTTTTAAAAGTTCAAGCACAAGAATACTCTGTTCTTGGCTTGGCAACTTTGCAGGATTATCGCTGTTACCAAATTAAATTGATCTGCTTTTTATAATGACAGGACACTTGATACTGTATAGAATCTATTATTTATATTCTAAGAAGAAAAGGATTCATTAAAATGACTTTATAAAGTGCATAACAGCCTTATCTATCGATCTATGAATCCATTTATTTAAATAGGAATAACAGCTATATATAGCATTCTAAGCAACTGAAAATGAAGTATCTTATAAAAGAAAAACATTCAATGATATTCTAGTGGAGAATACATTACCAGTCATATGCTTAAAGTTATTTAATAGCTTCTCTTTGTTTTTAGGATTAAGGTCAATATTCTTAATATAATCTTCAAATTCCTGCTTTATTTCACAATTTCATCACATATTGTATCCTTCATATGTCTTCATGCTCAGCCACACTGGCCTAACTCTTTGAGTGTGCCACAGGGCCTTTGCATATGCTTTCACTGCTTAGATCTTCTTCCTCTGCCTGCCTTCCTTGTTTCTATAGCTCTTGCTCATCCACAGATCTGATCTGATTGGTCACTGCTTCAGGAAGCTGTGCCTGACACTTCATTTCAGTTATTCTCCCTATTTTGTGCGCATCCGTAAATCATATACTTTTTTTCTATATTTGACTTTATGTATGATCTGTTGCTATGTAACAAATCACCCCAAAGCTTAGTGGCTTCAAACAACATTTATTCTCTCCAAAGTTCCTGAGAACTGGGGACCGGCAGCACTTCAGCAGGTGGTTCTGGCTCAGACTCTTCCCCAAGACTTCGCTCAGCATAGCAGCCGGCCTGCAGGCACTTGAAGCTCTGCCTGCGACCGAGAGATCTGCTTCTGAGTTGGCTTTGTGGCTGTGGGCCGGGGGTTTCCTTCCTTCCTGTGGGCCTCTGCCTTGCTCCACTTGATTTTCTTCGTAACACTGCCACAGGCCCAGTCCAGAGCAAGCGACCCAAGGGGCAGCAGGTCAGAGGGAGACTTTGGTGTCTTCTGTGACCCCATCTCACAGATCCCATGCTGTCCCCTCAGCTTGTCTCTGCTTGTGGGAAATCCGTCTTTAAGCCTCCCTCGCACTGAAGTAGTTAAGAGTTTGACTGTCGGTCACACATGACCACATTCTTTTCATGTGTTCCTACAAATCACCTTTGCCCTAAGGCTAACAGGACCTCTGTGTGTTTGTTTTTAATGTTCTATAGCATTATTCTTATGGCTAATAACAAGAATATTATAAATGTTTGAAGATAGAAATTTCTTTTTTCCTTTTTTCCTGTGTGTATGTGTGTGTGTGTGTGTGTGTGTGTGTTTCAGAGATCAAACCCAGGCTAGAGCTGTAACACTGAGCTAACCCTCAACCGTAAAGATAGAAAAGTTTTAAATGATCTGCGTTACACAGGTAATACACGTGATAAACAAGATCAGTGGAAACTGGCCAAATAGAAGAAAATTAAGACTGATAAGTAATTCTGCCTCCAGGGTTCTCTGACTTGTGATACATGAGATGATGCTCTCGTGTACTGATGAATAAAAATCTGCTGAAAACATTCCTGCGTAGGGAAATGCTATGCATAACTTTTGGAAAAACATAGTAAGTTTCAGGCTGAGGCTAGCAAAGATATGAAAACTATTTACTCAGTGACTCCCCAGGCTCAGAACAGCGATATTCAAATATTTTCACCCCATGACATGATTTTCATGCTGGCAGAGAGAAGGGCTCTTGGTACTATATTTCCCTGCCCCACTCTTTCTGCAAAGAGCTGTCGTGCTCGAGTTCTTTAAACAGACAATTCGTTCGGGATGAGCACTGACCAAAAATGCATCTTTGTATTTAGTGACGCTTAGTACATAAGTTACTCTCCTTTCTCCCGTCCCACTGACCTGGATTTTTATAAACTTATAGCACATCTCCTTTATATTAGAATTTGTAAGCCTGGGAGTTACTGAAAAGGAAGGCTTTTCCCGGGTCACAGGTGATTTCACCTTAGGCCAAACAGGAAAGAAGCATAAGGGTGAATAGCCGAACAGAATATGAGATCTTTGGGATCTGAAGAAAAGCTTCATTTTACAAATGAGACAACTGAGGATTTAGATACTTAAAAGCCTCTCAGAGTCTGCACCACAGGGCGAGAACCCCTGGCCCTGCAGTGTGCTTCCCGGCAGCGGTGCCCAAACTGCTGTGACTAGTCCAGCCCAGGGGACAGCAGTCTCAGTTGGTCTGGCAAGCGCTGTGCTGAGGAACTTGCTGTGCACTGCAGGACGTTTAGCAGCACCCCTGGTCTCCACCCCCGGATGCCTGCAGTACCCCTCACCGTCATCCTGTCAACAAAAAAAGAAAGCATCTCCGGACACTGTCAAATACCTCTGGGAAAAAATCACCCCCAGTTAAGAATCGCTCACCTATCCAAGGCCATCTTATTATTTTCAGGAACTACTCTTTCTGTTTGTGGACAAATTCCTCAAGGCATAGATTCAACATAATTAGTATTACAGCTCTGAGCTGTTTATATGGGAAACCACAGTCTTTCCAGGGAAAAAGACTCCAGTGTTGTCGTCACTGTTTTCAGCACAGACAGCAAGGAATCCATTCTAACGAAGTTGGGCAAGCCAGCTTTCAGCAGAAATGGGGTTAAGAAAGGAGAAAAATACAACGCAGCAGTTTTTAATCCATGTTTAATGAAAAAAGAGTTACATGAGTAGAAATGGACATAAAACGATCCATTTGCGAAAATGTGGTGATGGCTAGAATGAAGGAAAAAGCACTTTAATTCTGAACTTATGCACATGTTCTTCTCAGTTATTACTGACCTAAAACGCCTCCTTAAGTCCAAAGAAAAGTAATAGTTATAGGGCCAGGGATATAGCTCAGTAGCACAAGCACTTGCCTGGCAAGCGCAGGGTCCTGAGTTCGATTCCTGGTACCAGAAAAAAATATCCTACAAGTAGTAGTTATAATTTCACTGATATTTTCATGGGAGCTGACCCAAGCAAGGTCCAAACAATACTTGTTCATTTCCCCCAAACCCTCCAGAACACACAAATGCACAGGCAGAGACGGTGCCCGTGAGTGAACACAGATGAAGAAAAGCAAGCCTTTTCTCTTTCTTTATTCCAACAGCAAGCCAGCACTGGCAAATGAGCTTTTGGCACAGAAGTGATTTCTGCTAATATTTTTATGAGAAAACTTCTATGGATATGCATGCGACCATTTATTCTCAAGAAACCTATCAGGGAAGGATTGCGTCTGACTAGCAAGCGTAAATATATGCAGAGACGTTTCGAATGATTTATATGTGAGCCGACTGGAAATATGAAAGGCATGAAATTTAAAAATGCACAGACGTGGAACGAGGATGAGCATTTTACTGGTTTGTTTCACGGCTCATGATTTTTAGCAGGGTCAGTCAATATTCTATTTTTATTATTTCCTATCCTGATGTATGGCATGATCGTATCTTCCTAAATAAGAAAATATATATATCTTCGAAAAAGAATTCTGATCTCTGAAAATATATACTGGTAATAGCTTTGCACTAGTGATCTCACTTACAATAAAATATCCCTTCTCTCAAGCTAAAAGCTGGCAAGCATTAAACTCTCATTCTAGACATTTGCCATGTGGGTAATAAACAGAGGCAATAGATTTTATTTTCCTATCCCTTTAAAATAAAAGGCTTTTGGCCAGCGCACAGCAGTCACCAACCTCCCATGCTCACATGTAATAATTTCAAGTTAGGATGAGCCCTGCCTTTTCTGATACTGTATTCTGAGTTTTTCCAGCTGTTCGACGCATTGTGACTGGGCCAGCTTCAGGGTCCGATTCTCCTCCGTCAGAGCCTCAAATTCCCGCACCAGCTGGGCAGCATCCACTTTCTCCTTTTCTGCCTGGTCCAGCTTGGCGATGAGCTCCTTTCTGAAGATTTAGGGGATAGGACGGGAAGAAGGACAGAGGTCAGTGCAAGCAAATCAAATGATTTCATTTGGAAGCACCGTTTGTTTTATTCTGTTCTTCCTAAATGTTTACCTATCACAGCTTACCTTCAACGGCACAACTTCTAGTGTTACCAGCATCACAAGTTTTATATCTCTTTATTTTATTCTAGCACCTCTACTAGACACAAAATATTAAGTATACATAAAAATCCCCCAAAGTCCTTAAAGTAACCTTTTTAAGTATACAACTAATAGTCGAAGTCATAATTTAAGGGGTAAAAAAAGGAAAAATCAATCTACAAATTTATACAGAGGCCTATCGTCTTGTAGGGTGAACCACTTTGTCTCATCAAATCTTTGTCCTGCAAATTCAATGGTTATCTACTTTCATTTCCTACATCTGAGTTAAACAAATCTTTATTGGGCTTCTTCAAATTGAAAAAGAAAATTCCTAACTCTTTTCTTACACATATTATTTTCCAAATCATCGCTCTAGACCTTAGGTATAGTTATTCCTATGTATCCATGAAGAAATGGATCTAGGACTCCTCACCCCCACCGTGGACACCAAAACCTGCTGATGTTCAAGTCTCTTCTATAAAACGGCATGGTATTTGCATGTAACATACACATCCTCCCACATATATTAAATCACCTCTAGCTTACTTATAATGTGTGATACAGCATATGTGCTGGCTAAATATGTGCTTGCTGTACTGTATCATTCAGAGAATAAGGACAAGAAAAACCACACACCCTGACTACATGGCATATGATGTAGGCTGGCTGAGTCCATGGAGGTGGCAATGTGGACAGGGAGGGCCATTGGCTGCGGCCTCATTAGCAAAACAATATCTGCCTTTTGTGCTGACCTGACCCTAGAATTGAGGAAGCAGGCTGAGGAGCAGACTGCAGTGACAACGCCTGAGAAAAATTCAGTTCTCAATAATTATGTGTTAAATAATTCATTGATGTAAATGCAACTAATACGGAGTATTATGATTCATGTTTAAATTGAATGAAACAGAATCCAGAAAGGCTCCCCCTCTGTGGGTCAGCTAATTCTCATCTAGACTGAACCTAACAGAACTCTTTGCCCCCCATTTCTTTCTCCTCTATAAAGCAAAGAAAAATCAGTGATCTGATACACAGTTCTCAATACTGGGTCTCCAAAAGGAAAGGCTTTGCACTGCTCATGTTAATATCATATAGTCATAGGTAGCTCCTAGGTAAAGTCTTCTTTAAGATTTGAATTTCTTTAGATTAATATGTATTTTTAAATATAAATCAGTGCGTCAAATCTGTGACTTCAAAGATCTCATGCCCTAAGAGGATGATAACTTTTGGAGAAGCTGTCCATGTAAAACTGATCTAAAGAAAAATATTGACTAAGTAATAACACAGATGTGACATTGCATGGAACTTGTACCCAAATGACAAAGGCTTACAGCACAATGATGCCAGTCTAAGCCTCAAACACTGTTCTTTTTGGGGATCCAACCCATCCCCCCAAAAAGACCTGGAGGTTCTGAGTGCATTCTCAGAGAACAGGATAAATTCTTGTCTAAAGTAGTAACAGCCTGAGACACAAAATAAATAAATAAAGTAGGAATGATGTGGCCTTAGTGTGGAAGGCAGCTACGCTAACCACTACACCACCAACACTGGCCTTAGTGTGTAACACGTAGAAATACTATCTTCATGGCATTCATTCATCACTTCACTGACCACATTTTAAAATCTTCTCTTCCTTTTCGGAGTAATCAAATACTGACCTGATATTATATAATGTGAAGAGGAGAAGAAAGGAAAAGATAAATTTCTGACAAGCAATAATATTTAACTTTATACTGGAAATAACCCCAGGATCACTGGAAGTAGTGGTTTTCTGAATACAAACCCAAACCCGAAATGTTCCAATAATTCAGAACTAGAAAACAACCTGGCCATCCTATCCAGTAAGGTTTCCAAACATTTTTGAGTGAATAAGACTATTATTTAAAAAAACCTCTAAACACCAACCTACGTGATCCAGTATATGTGTATTTATTCATAAGTTATAAATTATATATGTTGCTAATATAAAGCATACCCACATATAGATATATAACAGGAGAAGATTGGATGCTAAAACTAATGGGTGAAAGTCTGCTGGAGAAGAAGATATTAACATATTTTCATACTGTATATTCACAAATTACTCATTAATTGCCAAGGGTAAATGTATGCTGAAACCTACAGGGCCACCACTTTAGCCAAATGACTAATGTTGACATCACTGCTACAGAGATAAGTAGATATCATATATGTGCAGAGTTCACAGCATCATTTCTTTGATATTTCTGTCCAAAATACATAACCTAAATCTAACCATAAGGAATACCAGACAACATCCACTTGAAAGAAGTTCTACAAAACTGACAGCCTATATATTGAAAAATGTCAAGAAATGTTTCATACTCAAAGCAACCAAAGAAAAAGGACCAGTCAATGTATTGTGCATCTCCATACTGGAGAAAAATAGCTTTCAGAGATGTTACTGGGGAAGTGATACAATTTGAATATGGACTGTGGATTAGACAAATTTAGTGCTCCAACTTTGCTTTCTTGATTTTAAGTATTATGCCATACATAGCTAAATGGGAGCACATCCTTGTTCTTAGAAATACTCACTAATGTATTTAGGGTAATGCCGCATGATGGTGTATTTTACGCATATGTAAATGTTTACATATATACATATATGGAGATATATTTACATGCACTGATATGTATATGTATATTTATAAATATAGATAAATATAAACATAATTATATATATTTATGACTCAGAAGAAAAAACTTCACTGGGGAGGGATAAAGCAGATGGAGAATTATTCCATAACTGATAGATCTAGTAAAGAATACATGGGATTTCTTTATTCTACTTTGGCAATTTTCTTACAAGTGTGAAACTATCAGTATAAAGTTATTTCAGAAGGAGGACAAAAAGTAAATCAGCATAGATGTTCTATTACTTCCTACATTCCATGCACTGCCTTTGTACCCCAGTTGGTGTCCACAGAAGAAAGTTAGACACTGGAAAGAAAGTGCTCAGTGGGGTACACAGAAGACAATCTGGAACATCCATCTGCACGCACACAGAGGCCCTCGGAGACTCGCCTGCTGATCTTTGGATCTTCCACAACGTCAAGAGAACTGGCTCCCAATAAACGCTTGCTGAATGCATAATTGAGGAAAAAGTACAACAGAGGAAAGTAATTTGTATTTAAAGATCAGGAAACTCAGCTCTGAGCCTTCCATTTAATTTAAGAAGTCACATGGCTAATAAGACGAGGCTAAAAATAAAGCCCGTCCTGATGAAGTGGTAGAGCTCTTTGCTTAAGCACAGTTGAGATGTAAATGTCAATAATCAAACACTGAATAGTAAACATCAGCCTATGACTGTCTCAAAGAAATTAACAAGTAAAACCTATATAAGAAAAAAAAATAAAGACCCGCTGTCCATCAAGTCATGTGTTCCTGTTCTGTTTTTCCCCTTTGAAATTACCTGTGTCCTATTTACTTAGACATACATAAATTAGGAAGGAATGGAATTTTGCTTTCAAATTTGGGAGTTGGTAGTGCGAAGTGTAATAATGGCTCTTTCCCTGGGTCATTTAAAACTCCTGAAGCCATTTATTACTAGTTTTGACTAAAAGAAATAATGAACCACAAAATCACCAATTCTGTAACTACAAGAAATAGCCAAGACTATCTAGTCCGATCTTCCTACATTAAAGAAAGTCAATAATAATTTCATCTTTAATGGAATTAAGAAGACTCAATGGTTAGGTTTCTAGATTAGTTTCATGTACTTGATAAGCAATTACACAGATATCCAATGGAAACTGTAAAATGTCTGTAAAACCAGTAGGACCTATATATATATATATATATTTATATATATATATAAAAATATATATATATTTTTTTTACACTGATCCATTAGCAATTCATAATTAAACTGTGGTATATCAAGCTACAGAAATTGTCTTATAAATACACAATATTGAAGAGCAAATCAATATTTATAATCAACTAGATTGTGGTACTCCCTTTGATATCTTAGTTATCATTACTAACATTCCCTTCAGTTTAATGTAATATAGGGGTGGAGGACCACGGATACAGGAACCTTATTTCTTAACTCAGATGCCTGTAACAAAGCTTTGCACGTGATTTAGTTCATGCTACAAGGGTCATAACCTCGGGCTATAGCATAGATCATCTATTGTTCCCATCCTAAGCCACATGCTGAGAAAGTTTTCAGTTGCTAAGATAAATGAGGGAAGGGAGATTCCAAAAGTTCCAGTAAAAAAAGAATTTAGGACCTTATGGAAACTTATTTCTAAATTAAGGAGATTATGCTGCAGGAGGTTGAAACCTAGATTCACCACTGGGACAAATAGTCTTTGTTCTGGAAAGCCCACTGCTGTGGTACTTGGCATTTTTAAAGTAAACTAAAGACTTTTATTAGGAAAGGCAAAATTCTAGACAGTTTGGACCCAATGCATTAAAGAGTTTGGGGTCAGAAATATACTCCTCACAGGGTAAATTTTATTTTAAGTTAGAGGTTTAGATCTCATGTATTGTTGCCTCTGCACAGAAGTATATAGGAGAATATTTATGCATGAAAGAAAGAACAAATGCTGCAAGATGATAAAAAGGATTGAAAGTCTGCCTTCATTTTATGTGGAAGGAAGAATAAATTATGGTGTTGAACTGAAGTTTCCAAAGCTCAGTCTAAACCATGGTATGGAAACCCTGCAACTGGATAATGCATAGGAAATGTACTAATATCCTTTGGGAGACTAAGGACAGTACCGCACCCTTGCAGGAGGAAGTGAGACTTATTCTAAAGCAGCTTTTGTCAGGGTTGGCATAATTGACATTTTGGGTCAGACATTTCTTTGTTTTGGAGGAGTTGTGCTGTAGAGT